CTGTTTCTCCTCATAACCTCTCTTTATTTTTTCTCTTTATTCCTCTTGCTATTTGTCGTTTTCCTCTCCCTCCTTCCCATCGACTATATCTCTGTCTATCTCAGTCGCCTTCAGAGAACAGGATGGCAGTACAGTAATGTAGGTTGATGTTATTAACACAGAGGTTGAGTGATGGGGGCTAATGGCATCTAAAGGGAAGGCTGAACTGACTGAAACAGGTCTGCTGAGAAAAATACAAAGATGCTGCAATTTTACAAGATCCCTGGTGAGAACATGGGCTAGAAATGGAGCATTATCAGAGCAGTCAAGTATTTATTTGACCTGTCTGTGTAAATCTGCTATTCCCGTTAGCGCTGTTTTATGAGTAAAATCACTTTTGTGTTAGAAAATAACTACTGGGAGAAGCCTGGCAGTTTATGTGCCAATGTGTCTGTGTTTGCATTTGTCTCTGTCTGTGCTTGTATATTTGTTTCTCTGCTTCTGTGTTCTTTATTAACGCGCACAGGCCCATTTTTGCCTTCGCGTGTGATTTATGTGTGTGCTAGCTTTGCGCTCGTGCCACTGACAGGCCAGGCTGTTTCTGTTGGAATCTAAGAGTGCCAATTATACTTCAGAGGCGGGGTAAATGTGGTCACTATGTCATTAGGCCAATATGCACGAGTCAGCCTGTCTGCTGGTAATACAACACCACATCATCCATATAGTACAGCCCGCTGCTACACTGAGAAGTGCCACAGGATCCACATAATCCACACATACACCCCCACTGCCTTCTCTATGTCTGGAGTTGATGCATCAATCTGTGAGCTGGCTTCTGTCTTCAGCTTTTTCCACAGACTTCTTTCTTTAGCTGATTGCGTGGCTGCTACTCCATGCTATAATCAGCTGCTGTATAATGGGTTCAAATGAGAGGTTAAATGCACATGATTAGTGATCTGTTCTTCTTCTGACTAATGCATGAGAGAAGAATTATGATAATGTGACATCCAGAGGTAATGTGTTTTGATAAAAGTGTGGGCAGAGACAGAAGGAGGAAAAACGATGGACAGGATGGATGCATGTATTTCTACATGCTAAATGAGTGTGTGTGCTCACAAAGTACTAGTGTGTGTGACCGTTTGAGACTGGTATGATCATGATGTATTCAGTGGGGCATAGTCAGCCCTTTTGAGGAAAATGGAGACAAAAAAAGAAAGAAAAGGAGGAGAATAAGGAAAAAAGGAGGAAATAACTGAGAAATTATGTCATGATTTTGCAGTGGAAATTAAGTGACTGAGGCGCACACAATACAATTGGTCAAGGTCAATAACCTGGGTAGAGGCTGATTGTATGAAAAAAAAAATCCCAGCAAAGAATGAAATCAAATGTTGAAACACGCCCCAGTCACAGAGTTCATAAACACGTCCGACAGATAAGGCAATTGGCTGCTGACAGCGGATTGACACTCTGGTGCGATGGTATAATACAGTTTAGCCATTAGCCTCCAAATAGCACACCCCGCATGCCAATGTCATCCTGTCCCAAGATGAGAAATTGATTTCATGCTTGGGTGACTGTCATCAGGAAAGAAAGGGAGAAAGCAAGAGAAAGAAACAGAGGGAGAAAAACGGAGAGAAAAAAGCAACCGAGAGATGGAAGAGAATATAGAAATTCGATCTTAAATCCTGCTTCTGCATTCCTAACCATTCAGCCTCAGATAATATACAGGGAAGCTAATGGAAAGCAGAGAATAGAAACATGGACAATACAGAATAGATGGAGTTTATGAAGTTCAAAAGAACATGCAACATGTTTGTGAGTGAGGGGGGTTAGACACTGAACAATAAAAGCTTTAGAAAACTGCTGGCTGTGCAGAGGCCCATACAGGAGAGCATATTATCAGTAGGGATGTGGCAGAGTCTGGCCGCACAATAGTGCCCCGTTGCCTCATGGGATGTGGAGAGCTCTCTGGAACATGAGAGGGGAGGGGTGTCTGATAGGTGTATTTAACATGATGCTCATCGATGACCGTTTTCCATTACTGTGCCGCCACTATGAGTGAGAGGGAAATGAAGGAAGGTAGAAGAGCAAGTGAAAATCAGACTGGTATTACACTCGAGTGATGATGTAATGTTTAGGCGACACAAACAGCACCCCCATCCCCCCTCTTCTTCTCTTTTCTGCTCGCTTCCTGTGTTCACCCCCCTTTTTCTCTGGGGCACAGAATAGCGCCTTCCAATTGGTTAATAGCACCATAGAGATGCTGCGAATATCCACCAACCAGGGCCCGGGTGCCCCTTCACATCGTTACCACAGCAACCCCTCACAACCACAGTGAGCGTGCACATCCATACATGTGTGCACGCTCACATGACTGAGTGCATGTGTGTATGTGTGCACTGTATGCATGTGTTTTCATGTGTGTGAGGCTACACGTAGGGAACATGCAACAACAACCCTCCGATGAATAGCCTTCAGTGAGTTTATCTACTGTAGACCAGCTCTGTGCTGCACAACAGTATAGTGCAGCTCATATAGTAAGAAACACAACTTACTAAGCTTCTCAACAACAGCTGCTTACTTATACTTTAAAAAAAGAGCTTTGACAGATTGCCCAGGAAAGTTTATAATAGAAATAAAATGTCCACCTTATAAAGTCAATCATTAGAAAGTGAAAAGTTTTTCTTAAAACAAGTCAACAGTCATTGTTGCCCTCAACTGTCTGTGGCAGATTGTATTAGCATAATAGCTTGCTGGCTAGTTAAAGTAAAAATGCTATCTTTGGTTTCCAGATTTTTGGATGCCTTTATTTGGAGAGTGACAGCTGAACCCAGACAGGAAACTAGGGAGAGCGAGAGGAGATGACACGCAGCAATGGGCTACAGGCCGCCGTAGCAAGGACTTAGCCCCAGCACATGGGACGCATGCTCCACCAGGTAAGCTACTGGAATGTCCCAAATTGACTTGTTTTAATACATAAACTCTGTAAAATGATTTTAAATGTGCATTTGATGGATATTTGCTGAAACAGTGGTTCTCCTCCTGCGGCAAGGGGGGCCAGAGCTCTTTGAGGGGGTTCCAAGGGATCCCCAGAAAAATGTGAAATATTTAAATTTCACTATTTATTTTATTGACCAGAAGTTGAGAATGAGAGAAAAAAATGTGTTCATAGGTTGCACACTCTTCACTGTAAGTTTACCAATCCACAGTATAGACAATCCACAGTTACACTAATCAGAGATAATACCCTGAGACTGCATCTTATCAAATATGTATGTATGTATGTGAATCAATTTAGGGGTCCTTGACACCAAAAAGGTTGGGCACCACTGTGCTGAAAGACTGAGGCTCAGGCTAACATGTCCCAGTCTAAAAATCAATCAGTATCTTTATAGTTGAGGATGCCCAGGAAAGTTTCTACTGTAAAATAGTTGGTTTGTCAAAAAAACTGCCATTGGGGTGGACTAATTTCACTATTTCTTTTTACATGTATATGGGACGTGCTCATAAGGGAAATGTAGTATGTGTAAAAAAAAGAGTAGTAATTAGTCTAAGAGAAATATAATGGAGGACTCTTGTAGTTGAGAAAATGTGAATGTGACGGCAGCCAGCAGGATGTCCAAAGAAAATGCTCAAAGATCTACTGAACAAACAGGAATAATCAAGAGTAAATCTGTAAAAGTGAAGAGCATTCAATCATTATTAAATGATTAAATGTATTACTATATTATCACTTATATTTTATTATTTATATAATTATTTGTTTATGGTAAACAGTTCCAGACGTGACCCTTTTTTACTATTCCAAAAGGTCCAGTCATACTTTATCCTGTGTATAAATGTTTAAATCAGTGGACAATAATGCTGTGGCTTACAACTGTACAACTCAGCAAATGTTACATAATGTCAACATAACTCAGCTGAGAGAAAATACGATGGCTGCTGAACAAAGTGGGGGAGTTTGGACAGAAATGATGTCAGATAATTCCATAATTCTACATAAATGGGTGTGATTACATGACCGTTGAGTACGCGTGTCTTCTTAATCTATCTGGTATTTCAGATCCTCTGCAAATAACTGACAGTAACCCATGACTGACTGCTTTATCAAGAGAATACTGAGCACACTTGCTCCAGGCCATACAGCAGCATGACAAATTATATTCCTCGGTTCTTGTTCTTCAAAACTGCACTTAACTCTAAAAATGTGACGGCAATTTTACATGTTTGAAAAGGACTGTGGCTCATTTTTCTCACTTTTAATCTTTCATTCCCGTAAAGAGCTTGCAGCTTTAAACCCAAGCAAAATAGGAAGTTGACATATTTTTACCTGTTCAGTCTTCGGCTGTAAAACAAAAGACTGCAGTATTCATTCATTTATAATAAATGACTACATATTTGGCCTATATTCTTAAAGCAATAGTGTTTTTTTCTCCAAAATATCAAACTATTCCTTTAAAAAGAAAAATAAGCAATAATATAGATTCCATAACTCATTAAACAAGTAAAAGTAATTTTCTTTTTAAACATTACAAACATTACAAGAGAAACACCTGCCCCACTGTTCCAGACGGTGTGAGATTATGATGTATCTTTTGTAGGTCACCAGTACTCACCTGTAGGACTGCAAAGCTAGATGAGATAGTCTCATTAGACCACAGCGTACAACCAAGGGAAAATCCTCTCCAAGTTGGCAGTGCAATAACAAGCTACCTTAGCACGAGCCTAAGTCCCCTGCAAGGCACCTCTGATCCGTTCCAATCCCCACCGTGGGCTAATAGTAGCACTCAGCATGTACACTAGGAGATAGATGAACGATGGGGATACAGTGTGTATCTGTCAGTGTGTGTGGGCGTGTGCATGGAAGGTAGTGACCAAGATAGATGTCTTGTGCACTACTGGAATCTGAGTCCCATCTTATTTAACTTTAACAACATTTGTGACCACCACCCACCCCTGGGGTCTGTTTGCTCTAACACTTTCTGTGCTGTGTCGTTTAAGAGCGGGCTGCCATGTCTTACCGGTGCAGGTGAAACACTTGACATGAAAGTGGGTGTCCTGTACGCGTACCACCTCTCCTTTGCATACTTCCCGACATCGCTGGCACCGGATTGGTCCGGAACTTCGCTCACCGCCCGCTGAGCCTTGGTGATAAGCTGCTAGAGACACAAAAAAAAAAACAACAACACACATTTAATATTCTATCTCTGTGTTCAACTAAACTGTTTTGCAAGCTGAACTGACTGCACGCTAAGCCCCACTTAGTTACTGTTGCTACGCCTGTCAAGCTTTCCATTCTTGCACAGCACATGTACAGTTTACAGTGATTACCGCTGGCAGGTTACTGCTTTAAATCCTTAGCAATTTATGAAACAATGGGTTCTTTCTATCTGGCAACAGTCAATTTTGCTCTTGAGATGAGAAGTGTCAGTGGCAGATTTTGTTAGCTATCTAGCTAATTAAGCTAACTCTATTAAGCTTGATGACTACAGTAGGCCTATAGATATATTGCTAATAGATTGAGGCTAAAGCTAACAGGTCCCAGTCAAAAACTTGTAAGATAATGTAAAAGACATGGAAATAAGGAAGCATGTTCTTCTATTTTGCAAAGGAAAATGTAAGATCAGAATGTTATTCTAACATAAACCCCATGTAGTTGTCTTGCTTACATACTTTTATTTATGCTTATTGTGTGATTTAAACTGTGTGTTTAATTTTTAAAGTTGCAAGAGTAAAGGCTTTTAAGAGGACTAACCAGTTTGTTATGCAAGCATAATGTTATCTTGGATAACGAGTTTGGCCCGGATTGCTGGAGGCCAAATCCAATAAATCAAGACAGAGTTAGTAACATTAGCCTTCACTCTGATATAGCAGCATCCAGGAGCATGTCTCCCAGCTGAGACATACTACCTACAGTGGATGTGCTAGATATGAATGAAATGTCTGGCTTTGAGGGTATGCTGGGTTAAGTTACTACTGTAGGTATGAAGCTAGTTAGTTGCACGTGCTAACATTTGCAGCATACATTAGAGCAGGCAGACACACTTTTAAAGCAATTCCTTCTATTTTTTCGTTTTTAGAGTTTACCACTACCCAAACTCTTTACATGGAGTACTGCTTCTACCAGAGTAGCTGCACAACAACAGATAAATTATGTTGCTATGATTGGACAAATAGTTTCACCTCATAAATACTGGTATACAATAACAATATAATTCACCAATCATGTACCTGAAAGCAATATATTCCTACTAATCAAGTTAGTTTTTGGAATTTTCAAGCACATAAAATGCAACTCCAACTGGCCATTTCTACCAACATTTCTACATAGCACAGACGCACAAACACATAAAACCATTGTATTCATTCAAAATCAGAATGGATTTTAGAATTCAGCTTAACAAAACTGCTTTCCATATTAAAAAACAAATTCTCCAAACCATCACCAGAACACGAGCTCTGAGTTCACTACAGACGGTAGGTGTGCAGTTCACACAATAAGATCACTATGTAGTTCTGTCAACACTTGTGCTGAAGCTGTGAGGTCTGACACCTATGTAAGCTGGGTAAGCTTCAGGCTTTCTCTCCCACTGTCTGCATTTTTCACACACTCATACAGGCTTACACACACACACACACACACACACACACACACACACACACACACACACACACACACACACACACTGCTGCGTCAGGTTAGAAAATGGATGGATCCCCTTACCTCATTATGCCTTAGCTTACATGTCAGAGTCCTGCAAGCCCGACAGCTATTTCATATTGTCAGGAAAGCAAGTTCTCACATAAAAACCTTAACAGTAATAAAATAAATGCTATCACGGGCAAAAAGGTCAAAATGATAGATTAATTTGATCTTAAATGAGCTCGGAAAATGAATTTATCTAAGACCTCTTAGGCTAATAGAGGCTCTTTAAAGGTCCATCTACTCCTCTAGGCTATAAACAGATTCTCTTATATCCCCAAGAAGAAACAACCATCCTCCCAGTACTAAGACTGTGCCAGAACAGCTGGGCTCACGGTCTCTTATTTTGCTTCCTTAAGGAGCATCTGAGTGGTCCTACACTCAGTGGAAGGGGTATAATGGCAGGGTAACCAGCTGGCCTTACTGCCTACCTGAATAGCTGACTGAAGGACTTTGCTACTTCAGTTAGAGCAGCACCAGCATATGGGCTGGCGTGACAGAGCTACTGATTCCATTTCACTGGATGAATCCCGAAGGACTCGCAGCACTTACAAAGTCTAACAGCCTTTGCACGCTTCATAGCCTGAGCACCCTTTGCACGCTCCAAGTTTGACGACAGTATATGCATAGTGTGGGCTGCACACTATGTGTACTGAGTGTGGGGGCATACATCCATGGGTGCAAGATAATGTATGCATGTTTATTTTCCTGTTCAGGACAGGAGTGTGGGCACTGGAAATATGCAAGCATGATTAATTCCCCGTCCCAATCTCCCACACTAAAGTCTCTGTTAGTTCATTGTTTCCCTGACAATGCTGGAAGCACCACTGGGACCCACTACCCTGCCTGATAAGTGCCTAGCCACTGGTTCAAATAATGACACTCCCTTGGTAGTGGGTTTTTGTATATTTGTGTGTGTGAGACCAAGCCAAGGAAGGAAGGAGGCAATCTTTTTTTGTCGTAAAACCAAATGAGCAACACTGATCCCATCAGGTGTGAATGAGAGATAATGGGAACCAATGGCACAACAAGCAAGCCTGTGCCAGCAACTACTGGAGATACAGAGGACATTTACTTACAATGCTGACCTTCTGAAATTAGGCAGAAATTAACCCACCGTATAACAGCCAGGCAAGTTTGTATAAAAGAAACAACATAAAACAAAAATGGACAAGGTGTTGGACGAAGATTGTCAACACATACCCGAAATATACTGGGTGCATGGTAAATAGCAAAAATTATTGCTGATTTTTTATGAATGAGATGCTCTTTTAACTTGTTGGATGTACGTGCCAAACGACTGCACCTCTGCAGGAAATCAAGGTCTACAATCAGCTCAGAAGCTAAAGCATTATGTAACTCAATCAAATTGTGTCAGGGCGTTCATTCTCATTGAACGCAGCCAAGCTCTCCTCGTCTAAACCCATTACAGAGCTCTCAAACAACCCTCCATCCTCTCCCATGTTGAGGCGTTGAGTCATTCTTCTAATGATAGCCACCAGACTACAGGTGTAATCCACTGACTTCAAATCAGTGGCAAGTGCCCTGGGAGAATACAGCCTCCGGCAGACAGGTGATAAGAACAGGGCCAGGGTCAGAGAGGCCGACAGCATCCCCAGGGACTGTGAGGCTGGTGCTATTTCTGCCCCTGACCTGACAGCCCCGGGGAAGAACATGCTGGGAGCTCAGTCACAAGGGATGCTGGAAGATCAGTGGTGACGAGTGAGTGGAGTGAAGAGTAGGGCAAAGAATCAAAGAGAAGCCATACAAAGACAGTGGTAATTTTTGAGATGATAATTATTAAAGTAAAAAATTTGTTGTTTTATGACCCAGGTTTACTTTCTATAATTGTAGGCTAGTTTATGCTAACATACCAATGCTTTTGTATGGGTGCAGTTTTATTTCATGAATTGTGGACACAGGGACAACTTTACATCAACATCTAGTGTGCACAGACTGTAGGTTTGAAAGTCTAATTCAAAACAGACACTAAGCCAATTATTTGTAATTGACACTTACCGGTAGCTTAAAATAAACAATATTAATGGGACTAATACAAAGATGCGACTTGGACAAATCATAGTCAATCAAGTCATTTTATCTTGCTAATTTAATAGTCTGTCTCCAAAGAACAAGTGAAAGACAGTACTGACAGAGAGAGGCAGCGGGGAAACAATGTGTAGAGCCAGAATATGTTTACATTAATTCACCTAAATTGGTTAATTAAGTATTATTTTTGAACAAATCAGACTCGGTGATTGTTGGAACAGTAGAAACACTTACTAAAATGGTTTTGGTGAGATTTATTTTGCTCAAGGAAATAACTGCCAATCTTCAGTTATGGGGCCCAAAATGAAATTATATAATCGAACGCTTACATTTTTGGCATACATTTCAACTACACACATCCTTAGTTGTCCCTAAATCAAGCCGACAACCAGCAACACTATAAGATGACGCAACACCAGCAATACAACATGTAGTTCGGCTAATGGCAACAAGATGCCAGCGTCAAGAAATCACTGTATTCAAGTGAATTTGAAAATAACCAAAATACATGAAATATTTTCAACAAGACCACAGAGTCTCAATAATTAATATCACTTATGTCTTTGCTAGAAGTTTAAAACATAATGTTTCATTAAGAATCCCATAATAATCTCAGATCTATCATCAAACCCATTATCTAACAAGGTTTACTTACTTCAGAAACTAAGTAAGGAGTACACCCAAATCCAAGCTTCTTCAGGTACCACAAATCATATCACTGTCACTATATTCATGTTTTTCTACAAGTTAAAATCTGATTAAAGGTCTGTTCTATTACATATACATATACATTCTATAAAAACAACACGTCATCCGTGTCCGTCATCTAATGCAGCCAACGGTCAGATGCCTCCCTGCCTTCCCCCACCGCCTCTCTTTATCTCCCATCGTCTCTGTCAGGACCTTGACCAGGAGCATTTATCAGAGCAATGATAGTGTCCGGAGGTATCACAAACATACTGTCACTCTATGGAGAAAGAGAGAGAAAGGTCAGACTGCTGACAGTCTGAATAATCACTCAATCCTACCAGAAGCCAAGGTCATGGAAATGACAACCTTGAGGACACAATATACAATGTAGCCACAGTAGTGTATCTTTGAACTTTTTTATTTTATTCATTCAATTTAAATTAAAAAAAAGACTTTAGAGCTTACAGATGAAACTGGAAACTGGAGGATATTTCCATGCGGTCTCCATAAATTCCTTTCCACAATAACCAAACAGAATACCAGTGCAGTTACCACAATAACGATGCTGCAAATGCACAAGAAAAACATGGGCCTCATTTTTACATTGGTCTGTAAATACATACCAGTTGTACATGGCTGTGTAATCTGAATATTCACGAGTGCATCCCAGCATCTGTGTTTGCATCTGTGCATCTTTGTATCCCACCTTTGTTCTCTGTGTTATTGAACTAAGGCGTCTGGCAGCAGGAGTGATAAATGGTGTTTGGCTCTGGTTGCGACTGCTCACCAGATGAGGCAGAAGAGCAGGAATCATATATGATACAGCTCCCCTCCCTGTCAACCCTTGTTCTGACTCATTCCTCCCATAAAACACAAACTGACATCGAAACAGCACAGAAAATATCCATCATTTAATCTAGCACTGTATGTAATGTATTTATACATTTATTTTTTTCCCCATTCTATTCCCTTCTCTTAGACGGACACTGTCAGTGGATCATCAATCTGTCCATTCATACACTTTGGTCCAGACCAAGATATTGTATCTCTATAGCAAACCTACCATGACATTTCAAATTATTATTCATGGCTCCCAGAGGACCATTTTTTCAGATTTTGTGAACATTTTGTCTTTCAGCATCAAAAAGCAGAACTTCCCCTTGACAAACGCCTTGATCCATCGTATCTGGAACACGCTGGATTTTTTTTTTCTGTTGCCACCATCAAGTCAAAGTAGTGCTGGGCAATAGCGGAGACAACTGATAACATAGCTGAAACAAGTGCTGGAACTCATTTGTTTCTTGCGCAATGGAACATTTGAAATTGTCTCTTTGAATACTTAAATACTTAGTGTGTTTTATGTCAGTTTATAGAGTTTATACAACTATTTATTATTATTATTATTTTTTTTTTTTACTATATTGCAGTTTGCACAGTAAAAATTATTTACATTCTACAATTTTTTCATGCATTCTGATTCCTTCATATATTGTATCATTTTGTAGAGCGAAGACAATCCAATATATGTCTTCACTGTATACATGGTGACATTAAAATGTTTTATATTCTATGTACTCCTGACAGTAGAATAAGCCACTATAAACCTATATAAAAGTCAATTCATGCATAAAACAAACAACAAACAAACAAAAAACATGATATATCCTGAAACTGCCAGAATCTGGCGGTACAACTGTATGGTCATACCGCCCAGCACTAGGTCAAAGCTATCTTTTACAGAATTACAATGAGTTCAGTTCAAAGCACTCCCACTTAGCCACTGATGCCAAAGCTCATGCTGATGCAAACTAAATCTGGGTTAAAGCAAATCAGGTTGTTTCAAGACCTTTCTTCCACTAATCTGCATGATTCTACTACAAACAAGTGTATCTACATTTAATTAATTCCTATTAAAAACTGGAACATAAGTTCTCTTAACGTGCTCACGATGACAATGTTGTGTAACATGCTGATATTTAGCAGGTAATGTTTACCATTTTCACCATCTTAGCTTAGCATTTTAGAATGCTAACATTTGCTAATCAGCACTAAACACAGGCAGATGGGAATGCCATTAGTTTTGCAGGTATTTGGCCATTTACCGGTATTGGACAATGATGGTGGCAACAAAGTGATTAGGATTCATCATCTAGGAACTATGAATGTCTGTATAAAATGTCTTGCCAATCTCTCCAATAGATGTGGAGATATTTTGAGCAGCTGGTGGTATTGTATAATAAGTAAGAGAATCACCAACAGACCAACATTGCCATCCATACTGCTAGTGCAGCTAAAAAGACTATACATGAGACTAAATAGCTAAGAAAAATGGACAATAGAGACAATTATACCTGGGATTCATTTCCATAGAGTCAGATCATTAGGTTGTATGAGATGCAGCATGTCTCTTTAAAGTTAAAATACCCAAATGGGATGTATTTTGTCTGATAGTTGGGCACTAGCTGCTATATAAAGAGAAGAGAGAGAATGGAAAGAGGTGTCAGTGCTGTCTTTGATGTATGACTCTGCAGATCCCCCTCCGGTCCCTGAGCTCAATAATCAGTATATTGATCAACATGTGTTTTATCACTCCCCTGAAACACACACACTGTTCATATACTGTATCTCAGAAATGGCCCGATTCATCATTTAGGCTCAAGTTTGCAAAACTGCGTCTTTACTATTATCATACATTAGTATTTCTTTCTCAGTGTTTGTTAGGTCCTTTCCACCAGAGACCAACCTGCTACACCTACAGTCCTGCCTCGTCTGCCAGCCAGGCAGAAAATAGGAGTCTGACGAGACACACAAACACACACACACACACACACACACACACACAAAAAAAAAAAAAAACCCAGTGACCATGAGAGATAGAAGGCCCAGAAGATGAAGACAGACAGTCAGAGCGGTGTGTAATTACTCTGTGTGTGTCGATGGCCTCTGGGCTATCGCACCCAATGCAGCGGAAAACACTGCACACACCACACAGCCTAACAGGCCAATTCATGTCCAAACCTTGAGAGTGGAGGGGAACATATGTTTGACTGACTGGAGGGATGGAAGTGAGGAGAGGAGAGGAAATGTTCTTTCCTCAGCTCTGATGCCTGCTGTGTTTTTATGCCTAAAGCCAGACTACAGACACATGTCAAACCACTATCTGCCTGCTGTGACAATGCTGACATTCACACACAGACACACACACAGTTAATTGCAGACACATAGTCACACGCAAGTCGCATACCACAAGTTGCTGCGTGTTTGTGTGCATTACTTCTTTGACCACATGCTTTTAAATCACAAGAGCTTGTGACAGCTCTCCACATGCTGGCTGCATGTACTCCTCCCCCTCTTGTTGTCAGCTGAGAAAAGCATTTTGAAGCTTAACAAAAGAATTCTACACATTTTCTCAGCAAGCGAGGAGCTGCAACACTCCTGGCACACACGCACAACACTGCACGAACTGGCAGTCAGGCAAGGCTTGGTACCAGAGGGTTAAGAGCACTGGATGAATAATGTAGTGCCACACAATGACAGGCTGGATTATGAATGATGCAGTAATACCCGGTTCCTCCTGTAGACACAGAAGACAGGGGAGGGAGGACAGGAAGCACATGACACCGTCAGTCCACAAAGCACCTGGTGCACATCAACTTCAACTGGCCTTAAGGACAGCTGAGGGACAGGGGGAGAATTTTTTCTTTAGAAAAGTCTTCCCTTGGAAATCCAAAAAAGTCTGCCTTGCAAATCAACCAGTTATAACTTGTAAACACAACAAAGTGGAAGCATGCACACAGGCGTGCACACATGCACACACCAGCTGACCAACAAGCCCTACAGGGAAAGCCCTGATTCAGCTGACAGAGGATCAGGGTCACAGTCAGCTGATATAAGGTCAGCTTAGCATCATGGCAGCCCCTGGGCCGGTCTAGGGTATGGCAGAAACCCTCAGGCTGTCAGACTTGTACTCTCGCGTGTTGCATCAACCAACCCAGCGGTCAGGTCACAAACCTCCAGCTCAAGGGTATTTCCCTGCTCCTGCAAACGAAAGTGTTAGAGGACAGGTGTACTTTTATGAAGAGGTGACAGCTGGAAGCCTCGGTGGCCACCCAAGGGAGGTCAAACGTACTACTGCTGGTGGAGAGAAGGATGAGGAAGGAGAGAAGATGAAAGAGGTGATAGAGGAGTGAAGTAGACGTTGAGAGGGTCCAAGCAACAACTGCTGTGTGGATAAAGAATCCCAAAAATGCTCCTCTATGGATGAACTCTGGGCAAATGCTACTTTGACCTCCAGATATACTTAGCTCTGCCATCCTCTCTAAACCTGCTCCAAGTCTATCATGAGGGCATGTTGAGAAGCATGTTTTACATCATATTTTTCTTTCCTGGATGTGCATAAAAATCACAATTTAATAGCTATGAAAATGAATGTGATGGCATATTGAGGTGCATTGAAATTACATGGGTTAATTCTTGATTTTAACCTTATTTAAGTTGGCACTGTTCCATCACATACAGGCTACTATTGTTCAATGGTAGTTCTCTCTGCTCTCACCTATAGGTATTGTCCTTGCGCTTCAAGTGGAGAGATAAAGCGCGCAAGAATGGACTTACCACTGGAACTCATGATGCTCAACGTGTTCTTATCTAAAACAAAGCGTCTCCGTCGAGAATAATCCCATAAAGCGAGAGGAGATCTTTATAAAAGTCATTAAAAATGAATATCCAGTGAACGCAAATGATGCTCCTCACTCTCAGCAACACAGTCAATTTCTGAGAAGGTGGACAGAGCCAGAAAGAGAGGTACCAAAAAAAAAATGTATAAGAAAAGAAAAAACAAAGCGAGGATATTTCCAGAGATTATAAAATCCAAATAAAGCTCCTGTTCTTGCTGTGTGGGAATGAAGGTTGTGATATTTTTTTTTTTTCAGGGAAACAGGCGGCAGTTACAACACAACGCTGCTCAGTCGGATTCCACCTTCACATTTTCGCTCCTGGCTGATTGCAGCTCCGCCGCTCTCTCCCTGGCGGTGTGCTGCTGCTGTCACTGCGCGCCGCTCACACAGCGCAGCCACAGCACACCTGTTCCGGCCGACGCTTTCAAAATAAAACCAATAGAGCGCTTGTCTTATTCTGTATCTAAGTGTTCATATCACTGCAAAACTAAACAAATAAAATACCCTTAATTGATTCTTCAAAAACACATCAAACACCTTAATCCATATGTCAGGTGTGATTGACGGAGATGTCCATTAACCTGAAAAGGCAAAAACAAAAACCTTTTAAACACAAATCATTTTAGACGCCCTTTATTAACTATTTAAATAATGTTTTAAGGAGCAAATTACTTTTTCCTTAATTTGAAATATATATAATATAATTGTCTTTTGATGGTCATTGAAAGACAAAAACTAAACCACTTAAACCCCTCTCTGTATATTGTATTATAACGTACATACTATTATATTTTACCATTTCCTTTTTTTATATATGTATATTTTATTTCTAGATATATTGTTAGGTATTGTAATATAATTATTATTTCTATTATTTAATGTTGTGTGAGCACCTTGAGCAGCTGTAACACACACATATCTCCCAGGGATAAATAAAGTGTTAAGTAGCCTAGATTTTTAGGGCTACATGCTTCTAACTTTCACAATTACTTAATTGGAAATATTTGGCCATCCATTAATTATTAATTTATGGTGTTATTAAGGTATATAAAGGGTTCTGAAAGAGACTAAAATAAACATCTGAAAACACCCCATTCTAGTTTAGTGGATTTGAAGAAGTACTGTAGTTATTTAACAAATCATCAATTCAAAAATGTTATCAAACAATGAAGTGAGTGAAATGAAATAGGATGTTAACCGTAATGTTGTTATTATTTACTTTGTCCAGTCCATTGCACAGACCACTTCAAGCCTCATTTTGTGAAAGTATAGCCTGAATATAAATTATATACATACATGTATGTCCTTGTATGCAGCCTAATTGATGTCCCTTGGATCTGGAGGCCAAATAGCCTAACCATTATTTGTGTGAATTTATTGTGAAAAGTGTCCTTACTTCCGGTATCGCTCTACCTATCTGTGGGAAGCTTGACCGCTCTCTCTTTTCATCCTGGGTTAAGCGACGTCACTCCGGGCTGCTGTGGACGCTCTGGGGACACTATAGCCTACATCACAGTGCGAGAAGTGCGTTGAAAAGTCATCAGTCTCAGTCTTAATTCATTGTTCACACGAGGTGAGGGCAGAGAGCGAGATTATCAACGCCTGAAGCATTTGAAATGAATGTAACAGTCATTTGAAATTGTGCAGAACAATACGGATCAATAACCTTTCAAGAAAACTGCCAATAATACTTGGAAATAAATCTATTTAAAGACTCTGGAGAGGGTTTGTGTGGTGGGGGTTGTTTTTGTTTTTTTGTTTGTTTTTTTTTTGCAGCGCTAGGCAGGGCTTGTTGCTAAAACTGTTATGACACCGCCCTCTTCTGGAAAGGGGACGTAAGCAAATTAGTTAATTGGATTATTGACGGTGGAGCTGTTGTTGAGGAGGAGAGGTTAATTGTGAAACTGTTGACGCACATACTCAGCTGTGTTTGTTTGGAGAATCTCAGTAATTGTCTTGATTGGCCCATAAAGGTAGGCCGGACTACACAGCTCACACTGAGTTGTTCCCAGACTTTGTTTGATTAATATCAGAACTATTGTGCATTATGACTCAGGGTTGTGTTTGCATTCAATAGGTTCAGTGGTATAAATGTGGAACGAGCTCCATCGAATGGTGAAACACCCATCCGCTGTTTCCCAAGCAGTCATTAGTCAAATCACCTCCAAGCAACTTTTTTTTAATTATAAAATGCAACAAAAAGTCCAAATAATAACATAGGATCTGGTGGCCTGCACAGGGTCAGGTCTGTCTGAGCACACTGGATAATAGATTTTGTCAGCCTGTGTTATGGCCTGCCCATTGCACTGTGTATGTGTGTGCTGTTTTTATTATGCTGCATGTGTGTGCAGTTTTTATTTTATTTAACCAACTGCCTTGTCCCATGTCCTGAGGAAGCCCTGGTTCTGAAGCCTGGAGGAAGCTGGACAATGGCGGGATGTAAGCGGCGCCTCTCTCCCTCTCTCTCTCTGCTGCCCTGTGCAGTCTTACCTCTTTTGGTTCTGGAGCTCAGTGGTTGTACAAGATGTTCTCTCTTTGTCCTTTAATCTACTTTTCTCCCTCACACTGTTTCTCGGTTTCATCAGGGAGCTTCGTAAAACTATAGTGTGGATTTTACTGAAAGAGAAATGGAATACAAATGATAAAAAAACAATTAAAAAGTCACCCTTCACAGGGTGCCCTGGTGGTAAAGAGAGCAAAAATTTGTACCATGTAACCCCAGTATCATGAATTTGAATAAGGATTCTTCCAACTTTTCACTGCCCAGCAAACCTAAATCCTGATCTAAGGCTTTATTTACCAGGTTTTGTGCTCATATATTCTTAATAATTAATAATTAATAATTTAATGGTAAATCAAGTACAGCACGCCACATTATGAGTGATTTTATGTCTTTATTACAGCACGTTTACTGACCTGGCTCATGTCAGTGCTTATTACGATAAGCATCAGTGTTATGAATGATGATAATTTACTTAAATGAACCATCTTCATCAGGGTGTGTGTAGGTGTGACACTATGTAGGTGAGTGCCCTGTGGGCCTGACGTGTGCCGGGAGCTGATTGTGCCCCTATGTCAATCCTGTGTTGTGCTTTTGTCCTCCGGACTGATGGGGCAGAAAAACAGGAAGCTGGCCTTCCTGTGCACTAAAGGCAGCGGGGCAGAAGGCCATCAGGTCAACACCCTGTTGTCACTAGCTGCGAAGGCGCCAGTGCCCTCTAATCGACAATAAAGGCAAACATCCCCTGATATCTGTTATAACTGGAATAAACCTGCACACTGTTGACATCAGTCTGCGTCACCTGATGGAAACAGTTCCCTTAAGAAGGCCAAGCAGTATAAACGTCAAGCACTAATTCAGCTTTTTATGAGCTGCTGAACACATGACAGAGAGCTGATTATGTTTCTTTTGCAGCCCTAATGTATTACCACATTGTATGGCCTAATCATCCACCCAGTTTTTCTTCTATTAGAGGTAATGTGTCTTTTGTTCGTCTGTCACACTCAGGCCATGTGCCCACTATCAGTTGCACTGATCAGCAATACACTGCATTCTTCACTAACCCTCACAATCCTTGCCCTTTGTCCAACCACATGGCCAGGGGAAAGCACACACACACACACACACACACACATATACAATCAATTATCCACCCTGTAATGCTACGCTGCTATCTCCACCCATTCCTGTCTATTTCTAAATTGTTGCTACCCAATACACCCACATTCTGTCTTTCTCTGCCTCTCTCTCTCTCTCTCTCTCTCTCTCTCTCACACACACACACACACACACACACAGTTTTGCAAACAGAGCAGAATAAATGGTCTGTGTCCTGCAGCCTTGCATAGCCAATTGCATGATCACATGTGCAGTGCAGGGCTGATATTCTGTGTTCAGGGTGACTTTGTCATGGTACACTGGGGGCTGGGGATACACAATCAGTTCCAGAGTTTATATTTAACTAAGCAGGCAAAAAAACCATAAGAAACCAAAGCAACAATGGCCAGGGGATTGTTATCTTCCCTCACACAGATAGCAATGGACATGACCCAGAAAGTGAGAAGTGTCAATGATAAAGACAGGTCACTCTGCATTGTCATGTAACACATGAGGGTAAATACTTCACATTTCATTAGACATTACACATAGTGGAATGCAGGCAGTGTGTCTGAATTGATGGGCAGGACTGTGAAAGCTCTGCACCTTTGGAATGAAGATGAGTGATTTATCAGGTATGGACTCAACAACTGTGCAAACCAGCTGTCATCTTCTGACTGCGGGTGCGTCAAACCCAACTGGTGTGACTGGTGTTGAAGAATGAGGAAATAGACTGGCCTTATTGTAGTTTTTGTTATGGTAAATGGGAAGAGGTGTCACCTAATTTCCGGGGTTTAATAGCTTTTGAGATAGATTAAAATGTAATTATAACCTGACCTCTTTTCACTGGTTCAATCTTCTTTTAGGCTCATATGTTTGACAGGGAGAGGAAGTGTTTGTGTGTGTGTGTGTGTGTGTGTGTGTGTGTGTGTGTGTGTGTGTGTGTGTGTGTGTGTGTGTGTGTGTGTGTGTGTGTGTGTATGGGGATATGGGTGAGTGAGAAAAGGAGAGAGAGAGAAGGGGGTAGGCTGTGCTCATGTCCCAAAGAAATTATGGGAGGAGTTAACAACAAAAAAAAAAAAAAAACTTCCTTAGTAAGTGACATGCCGTCTGGGATAGCCTCTCCAGCGCTCCAAGGCACACACACTCACACCCTCTCACTGACTTACACACTTGTACTTTCTTTTTCTATTTTTCCTCTCCTGTGCTTTTTGGGCTGACAGTGGAGAATGACGGCAGTTCGGGCAGTTGTCATGAGATGGAATTCACCAGTTGAATGGTGAAACCACACACACACATGCAGAGAGATACATAGATCTACACATGAGGAATGAGTTGAGAGGGGAGAGCTGGCAGCAACACAGAGGTAAGTTGTTTCTTTTCTGGTTTTTAATATGACTTTTCTCTAAGCCTTACTGTCATAAACTTACTTGTGTTTCTGCTGTACTTTGTACCTAGTGACATAACCGTTAAAGTGCTGTCAGTCCACGGTGTAGGATGGACAGGGGAGCTTTAAAAGGACAGTAACTGTCATGTAGTGATTGCAGTTTCTTATTCTGTTTACTTAATGTAAGTCTCCTGAAGAGCAGAAAAATTGGCTTACACATGAATATAATAAATGAAAGAAAGTGGAAATAAAACTAATCTATCTACAAAGCCGGGTGAATTTGTAATTACTTCTTTAATGTTTGTTTGAGTGTTGTACAAATGCCGCTATGCAACAGTGAGGGAATCTCCCTGCAGGGAGCTCTGTCCTAGACACACAGGCATGTGAGTGAGCTAACAGAGTGTTAGTCTAAACTTAGAGCCCATAGTCCCTGTCTCATATTACTGTCCTGTACCGCATTTTCCAAATCTACAAACCCAGATTGAACACACACACATACACAGTCACAAACACCCCAAACAACCCCTGCTTGTAATGCATTTGAACACAGCCAGACACTGCTGACACCATATGTTTCTTATTAGGTTGAATGCTATTGTCATGGACTGCCGAGTGTCACAATTGCAGTCCAGGCTTTTGCTGTGGTTTCAAACTGTGTGGAGACTATAAGGTCATTTATGGTATGTGGTCACTGGACTGTCATTACAGGCAAAGCATACTGTGTTTGTGGCTTAACATGCCTTTAATCATATGTATTGTTTGTATGAGCCCTTAGTAATGCTGTGCACAGTGTGCAGTCATTCAGAGGAAGAAGGGTTTTGACTCCCCAGCTGCCAGGAAACAATTGTTAGATCAACAGGTGTTCTGATTTACTGTATACAGCATCACCAGAAACCAGATTACATTGTTTTTATTGACAGTCTCTGTATGTTTTAAAGTGGTTGTCACTGGAGACAACTGCTGCCCTTGTGTGCCATTAGGTGCTAACAAAAGCCTAGCATGTGACCACACATATCAGCCTTGAACAGCCTGTGTTTATTAGATTAGACAGAATCTGTTTCACTTTGAGAAACAAGCAGGGGAGTCTAAAGAGTATCAGGATATGCCCTGACACGCCATCAGCCTGTTTACAGCTTTGGGTCTCACAAGATACACACACAGAGATTCAATCATGACTGTTCAGCCGTCACATAAACAAGATGAAGAGATGGTCTCAGACAAGGATATCAGCCTCTTTGTCTCTAGTATGTATCAAGCAGTGGAACAATCAGGACACAGCCGGGGAAGAAACTTTATGCATTTGTTTTCCGTGATCAGTGATTACGTGCAGTGGTAGCTGACACAAGTCATATAATGCATAATGCATATCTCAGCAGTATCTCTCTCTCTCTCTCTCTCTCTCTCTCTCTCTCTCTCTCTCTCTCTCTCTCTCTCTCTCTCGTAATGTAACACTAAATTGTTTCCATCTGCACACCAAATCAGTTTGCCCTCTTGTTGTGTGTAATTACAAATGTGAAGTAGACTGGCCATCAGGTTTTAGAAAAGTTTAAAAGGTTCATCTTGCAGAGATCCATGAGATCCATTTTCATATATTGGTAAGCATGAAAAAAGTCAGATTCTCTCAAAAGTGAATAATCTCTTTTATGGCCTCCGGAATTAGAACGTTATCAGGCAGGGAGGATCTTATGAAAGATGCTATCATATTGCATTATGGGAACTTTATGCATCCAGGGTTTTTGGGGCATAACTGATACTAGGGGCTACAATTTAGCACAGGGGTGTGCAACGTTTACTGTCAAAAGAGGACATAACAATGCTAAAACATTTTTTTAATTCTGTGTATAATGGCTACAGATTTTTATAATTGGAGAATGTAAGAATGACTTTAGGCCTACAACAATGATGAATGAAAATGAAAATGTTGAAGAATAACAGTTGTTTATTTCCACATAATATTTTTGTGTCAAAGCCACAGGGAGCCAATAGAGAAGGGCTAAAGAGCCACAGGTTCCCTACTGATTTAGTATGGGCAACACAGTGCTGGACATGTTCTTTAATACAGCAAGACAAATGTAGTTTTACTCAAAATAATATTTATTTTACCATACGTAATCTCTACAGTCTAAATGAACTATGCAACATGCTGGTTCATGGTTTATGTCAGATGCGAGCCATATGGTTGTGGGAAATGTCATTTCAATTGGTGTAATTTCCCCATAATTTATCATTTCAAGCTCAGTAGTATTTTGATAGTGTTCCTACAGATGTATAACTTGACATTATAGGCTTGGCAAATGTTGTATTAGCATATTCTAATCCATAACATTAAGAAATTGTATAACATTTCCACATTAAAGACAATTAAGAGCTTATCTAAACAGATTTGTTTGCCACTTGGCCTCTACAGGTTGTTAAACATTAGTGAGCACTGTCAGTCTTATATTATTATGGTTCACCAAGATCAGGCATACCACACCTAGCACAGCTTTAAAATCTCTGGCACCATCAAGGCATTTCATTATCGCCTGAGTGAACACAGTGTGCTGGACTTCCATCAAACTAGAGGCCCTTGTCTACACTCTGTGTGTCATAATGAACTCAAAAGAAGAAATTCACACTCTGAAGGGAGACATTGCTGTGATATATCTCCTTCTCAGATGGTAAAGGGTCACATGAGGTCAGTGATTCACATTTTGAAGTATTCACATCCTTCTTTAAAGTCAAGATCATAACAAAGTCTTTAAAAGTCAAAACCTTCATGGACTTGCTTCTCTTCTTGGTGACCTTACAGTGTAGGATGATATTGTCTGGTGTGCTCATGCCATATCATCTGTCTGTTACCCCTCTGATGGCAGAGAGCAGAGTTGTGTTGAACTGTGTGATGTGGATAAACTGATCCTCGATCTATGCTACTGGGCAACTCTCAACCCCCCCTCGCTGTGACCTTGCAGCCTGTCCCTGTGTGGCATTGCCTTACAGTGGCTCAGCAATACATTCCCCCATCAACATACACAAAAGACACTCACATTGTCTTTGTGGCATACATTCTGTGCATATTTTCACTGACCCGGACACACACATACTTTATAGGGAACACACAGGGAAACTCTCACTGAGGCCTGCCCCCCACACACTCATCCCAATCGCAGAGAGTGCTTTGTGCATTCACTGACTGACTGGGCAGCTACTGAAGAGAGAGAGAGAGAGAGGGATGCTGGTGGGAGGAGGGAGATGGAGACAGCAAGAGACAGAGGGATTACAAAGAGAACCAGACCCAGACAGATAGAGAAGAAGAAGAGATAAGACTTGCAGTGGGACAGCAGAGACACATGTGTAGTAAATAATAACTGGTGGAAAGACAGAGTGATAAGGGCAGGAAAGGGAATACAGAAATAGGAAGGGAAACGGGGCTTGTCCAACAGAGAGGAAGAGAGTGAGTTGTTGTAAAATAAGCTGAGGGGAACTGATGGGATGGCATTGATCTCTGGGAGCTGCCGGCTCTTGGGCCAGATGGCGTCTTGTTGCTGCAGACCGTTGCTCAACTCTTGCTGCTGTGGACCGTTCATCAAAGTCTGCCTCTCCTCCTTCACAGGTCTGTCGCAGCCTGCTCTCTGTGCTACTACTACTGTACCGTCATGAGACAGACTACTACTTACAGATAGACAGCAGCATAGGTGTATACGCAACATGGGTAACACACTTAGCCATGAAGGTAAACAGGGCATGGTGTGTTTCTGTACTATAGCAGCATGACTGTGCTTGTGTTAACTCAAGCAGTCCTGTGCTCTGTCTGTGTTGTAGGATGGTAAAGAATAGGCTTTTGTCCTCTTCAGCCTAATGTCATGTTGCATTGTGCTGCTAAGTTGTGCGCCCCATTGTGTCGTTGTGAATGCTTTGCATCAAGATAATACTGTTCTGTTGTGTTTTTGCACTGACAAAGCATGGAAGAAAAGTGTAATTTTAAAGACAAATATGACCTTTTTTTGTTATGTTTTGGTTAACAGTATCCTTTTTAATTATAAATGTCTGTATGTAAGGTGTAAGGTGTCTGTATGTTTGAAAATGTGACAGTGCTGACTTAAAAGTGGAGGAGTTAGGGGCAGGGTAGCTGTCTGAGTCTGGAGATTTTTCTGATTTCAGCAGCTGGATGTCCCTGCCAGGCCTGTGTGTGTTCAACGTCATTGTTTTCCCCTAAACCCCGTTAACTCCTCACACTAACCAATGGCTTGAACTTAGTAGCATTTAAACTGCTGCACCCAACCCAACTCTCCCAGTGAAATTACCCCCCGCCTCACCCCACCATTACACAGAAGCCTATTTTCAACATTTAGGCAAATATGCTTTCTTGCGGAGATGAGAAGATCAGCCTGGCTAATAGGCAATAAAAGCACCTCTAAAGCTTACTAATGTACACGCTATATCCTGCGACTTTTTACAAGGGGCTAATTTGCAGGACTATTTCTTGGCTAAGACTCGCAGTAACTTCATGGAGTCTCTGCTGACTGCCTGACAACGACTCACAGCCAAGGAACAGTCTGGCACATAATCCAACAAAATGGCGAATTATTGTTTTTACACTTCGGTTTTAATAGTAGGCTATAACGTGTTCATTTGTATTCTTTAGAGGTGCTGGTTTCAAGTTAGGCTTGCTAGGCTAAGCTAACTGGCTACTGGCTCAAGCTACATATTCATTGTGAAAGTGATATCAATCTTCTCATCTAACTCTGAGCAAGAAAGCAAATATGTGTGTTGCTCAAATTGGCAAACTATTTATTTAGGATGCATTGATATGCAGTTTAAACTGTGTAAAAACATTTAAAGTATTTGATGATCACTGTGGTTAAGTGGAGCATAAAGGAAACTGAATTTGTCTTTTCACATTCAGGTCCACAATATGATTTTTTCCACCTTATTTACAGACATCTCTCCTGCTGAGCTCGATGCTCTTTGGAGGGAACCACCATATACTCTTGGGGGAGCAAATGAACACTTCTCAGGAAATGGCATCATGACTCAAGGTATACTATAATCTGCACTGAACATCTTTATCAATGTGAAATCATATCATTATAGAGTCCCCCTCTAAGTTTTGAGCTCAAACAACCTAATGAGGCTTATTTGAGCTGTGCTGCTGTCTTCGGTCACAAACTGAGGAAGTGTTTGGGACATCCTCCTTGCACAATGGAACAAACCAGGGGAAGCCCGTCACCACTTTACTGCAGTAGCCATTATGCACCCATCTGGCTGATATTTATAGGTTTCGAAACTATTAAGATCCTGTTTATGTGCTGAGATGATGCTAATAAGTCAGTGATTATCAACAGGAGAACTTTTACAGGGGGTAGGCAACTTCTGCAGTTACCAGGGGGTATGTGGAGTAAGCTGTAACACCTAAACAATGCATGTTGAGTCTGAGAGTTGTATAATGGTCAAATAGCTTTAACTAATGGATACATGGAAACATTAAGCTTCTGCAAATCCAAGTTGTCTGTTGTAGTATGAATTCTAACTTTCCCAAATCAACCTAAATAGACAGTTATGGCTTAAGACCAAAATACATCTCTGACAGTGTTTTACCATAAACCCTTGCAGTGTCTCAGGTCAGAAGGCTGCTATCGTTTCCCAGAGTGTAAACTAAACAAGGAGAAGCAGAATTTAGTTACCGTGCACCACAGAGCTGGAAGAAACTCCCAGAGGGTATTAGACTTGCTCTGACTCTGAACTTAATTTAACTACTGAACTACTGAACTACTCATCAAGAACAATCTTGCTTTCCTATCCTGTATTCATGTCTCAGTTCTTAACTTTTTAATTAAGTTACGTTTTTATTTAAGTTTCTAACCATTCTAATGTTTTTATGACCCTTTTTTCTTTTTATATTTTTTAAATGCATTATGTAAATCATGTTGAATGTAACATTGTCACAATATACATTTTTATGCAATTAAAAGTGTTAAATTGCATCCAGTTTCATCCATGAAAGCAACATATTTGGAATATGACGGGTAGTGTAAATGAAAGAATATATGAGTTCCTGTACCATCTTACTACATACTGACCACAGATGTGTTTTCTTAAATGGAAAAACAGTGATTGCCATCTTGTGTCAGCTGGTAACATTTCCAGTTAAATCTCAACAGATTGGGACTTATAGACCTGCAATTGCAGCCCTTTTTATGACCCCTTTGATAAAATTGTTTCCACATACTACACACCTGTCTTTATCACACAAAAAACCCTAAATACAAAATGCTGTTTAGGAAACACTGGATTAACCAGCACTGGACTGAGTTTTCTATCTTAGTGTGCATAAAGAAGTCATTTAAGCTTCCTTTTGGCATTGAATTAGAAAAGATGACAATCTAAACTTGATCCGTCTGCTTTTGTTTTCCTGCTTTGTTTCCTATTTCAGGTGCAGGTGAGGAGGAGGATGGTCCAGTGGTGGATTCAGGTGAAGGAGGGGTGGAGCCTGAAAGCTACTGGAGGAAGAAAGAGGCCTTCCTTAGAGGAAGTACTGTATCACTGGGAGAGAAATTCTCCTCAGGTACATTTACTGATGGTTCTGCCTTAGTCAATTGTCTGAGTTGTAGTATCCTCTGCCTCAAAACTAGCTCTTATATTAGCCACTCTGAACTTGTTATCTGTTATGCGCATAAGCATTTCCCCATACATTATATTTATGCATACTGATGAGGCATTTCCTTCCCAACTAATGTTTTACTCACTCAGCAGTTTGGCTCTATCCATCACATTCCCCCAGGTTCTTCTTCTCAAATGGATTTAAATGGCCACACTGAGTCCAATAAGAGGCCCTAATAGCTTTGTTATTCCTCCAGGGACAAACGTTGTGCTCACAGAGCATCTCACTGAAATATGAGCTCTTCAAGAAAATCTTTAATGAACTCTTGAAAGTTGTGTCTCTCTTGCTGGTAGAGAACAGACCATTTCATTTCTATCTGTTTTGTTTTTTACCCCTTTTACTCTGTCTACAGCATGAAATATACAGCATCCTTTCTGTGTAAGTGTGATGAATTAACAAAAGGATTATAATGTTTTATTTATTTATTCCTTTGCTGGTTAATTCTGACAAACAATGGATGATAAGTCCCCTCTCTCATTTTTCTGCTTTTTTGCATTGGATTGGTTTATATTCCATATTATTCCACTTGAAGAAACATTTGCTTCTAAGAGTGATTAATAACATAATCCTTCTTGTCTTTTGCGTAGAAATTGTGCTGCTGTTCACTGGGCGGAGGCGCTCCAGTGTGGATCCTGACCGGGCCCTACAGGAGGCGCTGCGGACCCGACTACGAGTGGTGGAGAGCAACAGCCAGGACGTCATCCAGCTCTTTAAAGTGAGTGACAGTAAGACCTGACAATGCAGACATTACACAGTCATTAGTGTACTACTCAAACCTTCTAATAAAGAACGAGGTGCATTATGATATGATAAGCATCCATATAGTGCAACATGATATATTATACAGTGTATCTATTGTGGACTTTATGGAGACGGACGGATGTTCTGTTACTGAAAGATGAAGCTTTGTTTCTGCAGGACTTGTCTGCACGTCTGGTGTCTGTCCACGCTGAGAAGGATAGCTTCGTACTCACATTCAAGACTGTGGAGGAAATCTGGAAGTTTTCAACTTACCTAGCATTAGGTAAGAACCTATAACCGTATTATATCTTAAAGCCTCTGGAAATGTATTTTCTACATCAGGTCCTGCATGGACATATAATTTTCTTCAAATATTAGAACAGTTTTGATTATTTCTCATGAGAGATGTTAATGTATTTTGTGTTCTGTCTGTGCTATCACAGGTTTGAACAAGGTTCTTTTGGCACCAATCTTTAGAATTTATTTTTTAAGACTGATGACAGTTGTTTGGTTATGTTACCCAGGCAACTGTCACTCACATGTGAACAAACAACAATCACGCAGTCTTAAAAAAAAACCTTTAAAAACGGCTTGCTTAGAATATTTGATGTTGTAGAGAATAACATATAATTTGAAACCTAGTATTCAGGTGCTTTAAGGCCTGTCATCAGTCAATCACAAACACATGGATGGCTCTTTGCTTTACATTTTTTTTTTGCCTATTTCTGTGTTTATTCCTCTATTTTTATTCTCATTATCATCATAGTTGTTAACAAGGTTGTATTGTTCTTGAGGATGCAGTGGTTTTAGGATAAGATGTAATAGTAGTATTTGTATCTGAGTCTCATGTGCTCTGTCCCAGGCTACGTGGCTCGCTGCCTGGAGAACTTTCTCTGTGATCAGTCCTTCTGGCTGGACTCAGAGCTCCTCAGAGACCTGGAGATCAATGTAACTGTGGATGAGGAACATCTGGCCACCCTCTACCTGGGACTTTTACTCCAGGAGGGTCAGTAACTCTGTTCTTTAACCTTTATGTCAGAGCATGAAAGTAGTAGTCAGCCTTTTATTATTATTTAACACAGAAGTTGAAAAAGTGAAAAGGTCATCTGTCCAATTACTGCATACTGTATGACTACAGTAATTGATTATCTATATCTACTACATTATTCTCACATTCTCAAAATTAAAATATGTGAAAACTTATATAACATTATATAAACATATTTGAAGTATGTATTGTATGAAGTGCCCTGAATCTTGTCATTGCAATTATAAAGTAACTGATTGCAGCTGCCATTTCATCCCATTACTTTTAATCCATTTTTACTGACCCCAATTACCATCATGAAAGCCAAAGGAACCTGACTTTGGACAAATTATAGAAATGCCCACCTTATTGCCATTAGAGGAGCTTATGTGTCACACTGTCTACACTCGATGTCTAGAGTATAATGGATTTCTAATTATAAATCAAACTTATGATCTCATTTCTATTTAAGGCTACAACTGCCTTTTTTGTGTTGTACATTTGTTGTGGAGTCAAGCTAAAACCTGACATCACTGAATTCCTTTATTTCTTTATGCATCATAAAATAAGTTAGTGTTCCTCCAAAGCAAAACTATTACACTTCCCTCCTGCATATTGATTTCCTCTGGCGTGGTCTACACAGACTTTCTCCTGAACATTTCCCCTAGGCAAAAAGCTTCACGGAAACGTATAATAGGACTGCAGTGCTGGCAAATAGTTAAATTACATTAACTTAATAGGGGGCGATATAAAACATCCATCATTTGCCAGTGACTGAATGAGGACGCAAAAGCTGAAGCACTTTTGCTGATCTTTAACTTAAGTGTGGCGACTTTTATCAACACAAAAACGCTGACGGAAAACACTTTGCACGTCTGGATTCACACATGCTCATCTGTACTGCCTGTACATGATTATGTGGGGGTTTGTGGGGCTTCAAATCAGTCTACTAATGAACCACTGTCTCTGCAGGATCCTTTTTTGCTAAGGCACTTTTCACAAGAAGTGAGCAGGATGAGGAAGACGAAGAACAGCTGTCATTCAAAAAGAATGACCTGCTGATGGTAAGGGACACAGGGCAGGACATCATGTGGGAGGGCACCATGCTTTCCACAGGAAACCACGGCCTGGTGCCAGTCAACGCTATGCAACCGCTGCCTTATCCCTTCTACCAGTGAGTCACTCTGTGTTCCTCAAACGAGGCACTTCTGTCACAAATTCCTTGATGTACATTGTAAGCAACACAATCTCTTATCAAATGTTGTAGTTAATGAACTACAGCTGGTGGACATGTGTGCACATGAGCGGGCATGGTTTGGTTAAACTATACTTCCTGTTTGGTCAGGTGGTTCCTGAGGAAGTACCCGGGCAATGCTGGATGCTCGCCAACAGAAAAGGAATCATTTGAACATTCTATTGGTAAAGCCTGCGTAAAGCACACGTTCACACATACAACATCCTGTATAGTGTAGTACACTCACATACTGAACTCAGGCACAGATACTTAAAACCAACTGATCTGATCATATGGGAAGTTAAGATAAATTGTCCAGAAGCACATATTGCACAAGTGTTTCATTTCCCTAAAAACAAAAACTTAAATCATTAGACGACTCTATGCATATTTAATGATACCAATGTGAGAAATCACAATGTGAAAGGGGTCACCCATAGCAACAAACCAACAGGGAATTATTGCTAGAAATGCAGCTCTGAATTTCTAGAGTAACCTAACTACATATTGTGTTTGTGAAGTCAGTCATTATTATTATTATTTACAAAGACATCGAATAATATCAGTGGATCACAATTCCTTTTTACTGCCCCAGTGCTAAGTTTCTGCATATACTAGTAGCTCCAACCTACTAGTAAAAAAGAATTTAAACCTTTAGTTCCTTGGCCGGATAAAACAAATACCTATAAAAAATACACTACAGTACAAAGATAGTATACACTATCATCATATTCATGATCATACAATATTCTTATACATTTCCCTCAATACTAATGTCTTTTCTTTGTACCGTACCCTGTTCTCTTCATCATACACCTCAGTGACGGGTACCTGTGTAGCAACGGTTGACTACAGTCCAGTGGGCCTGGATGAGCTTCAGCTGAGTCAAGGTGACATTGTGGAGATCCAGGGTCTACTAGTCCGAGGCTTGGGCGTGTTCATAGGAACACACACTTTCACAGGTCACACTGGTTTTGTTCAAAAGGCCCATGTCAAGCCTCTGGACACCATACCCCTGTAAGAAATTCTCTTTTTTTTATTGTCAAATGTGTAGCATGGGGTGAACTCACTGGTCTGATGATGTTGTGCGTCATTTTAACTTTAAAGCACTTTATCTTGATCAAATTCACATTAGTTACCTGTTGTTTATTGTGTTATGCTACTCTTTTATGAAATCTTGTTTAGTGAATCTTCAGTCTGGACAGGGTGAATGGGGTGAGGAGGAGCAGGAGACAGCAAAATGGATAATGCTGCCTTTGTTTCCCTCACACAGAGACGGACAATTGGTCTTTCTGACTGAGGAAGAGAGAGCCAGCTTGGCTCAGGTCAACCCGTGTAGCTCTGAGCCAAGTGACAGTGGCCTGCTGGAAAGACTCTTCTCGTCTGACATCAGCTCTGTGTACAGGCTAGGTAAGGGAACGGCTGGTCTGATCAGCAGTCAAGGTAAAGGGAGGGGCTGTGCCACTGAGCCATAATTGAAATATAGGTCATGTTTTGATGTGCAGCTCCTGTTTGTTTCCTAAATAGTGGCACTGTTGGTGTTTCATTCTGGGGGAAAAAAAAGTTTACCCCCAACTGGAAAATTGACGCTTAAATTGATTTACCTTGTTTTTCCAGATAAACTGGATGAGACTGACTTCATGTACATCCGGAATCGACCAAAACATGGTAATGCTTTACATTTGATTGAAAAACAGCTGTTTATGAGCGTAATGCATTCGAACCAAAATTAAATGTGTTTATCAATTCCTCTGCTACAAGTAACTACTATATCTGTCTTCCTCCCAGATTATAATGTTCCTACAAGTGCCCGTCAGAGCGTCATATCAGAAAGAAGTGGAGGGACACCCCCGTACCACTCCTCTCCTCGCACCTCTCTCTCTCATTCCCATCCTCGATTGTCCCTCTATCACTCCCACAATCCTCTGCCACAGGAGGGAGAGCACCTGTCCTTCACCCTGGATGACACATTCAGAGAAATGGACGAGTTCCAGGAAGACCCACCTCTTTTCTTGGAAGAGAACAGCTGGGAGGGAGAAGACTCAGAGCACATTGACCCCACACTGACCCTTCTCAACCACGAACACTTCCAGGTAAGCAGAACAAAGCAACAGATTGTAGGCTTTAGGGCTTTTACTGACTTCTCCATTGTTTCCTTCTTGCTTTCTATTTTATGTGTATTGCAGCTAATGTTAGCAATTGCTATTTTTAATGAAAATTGCTACCTTGGATGTCAATAAATATAGGATCACATTTTAGAGTTATAAAACAATACAAAAGCGTTTTGGCAAAGATACAAAAATGGAAAGTGAACCGTTTTATTTTGCATAGCTTTATCATTTAATTGCATGGTGATTAAACAATAGTAAATACATTCACAATGTACATTGCACATTTACTGGCACCAGCATTATTCTTATTTGACTCACTCTTTTTTTTGTTATTACCTTGGGTCAAAACAGGTTTTACAAAACTAACAAATATTATGTGGTCAATATTAGTTGATTAATTTAGCTGCTGTTCTCAGTACTCCACCATCATATATGGCATATATATGCCTTTGGCATGTTTTACTGTATTTTGGCTTATCAGCACAGTTATGATAATTAAAAGCATTTGATTGTAATATGTAAATTAATTTGGCAGTGCAAAGTCAGAAAATGAGTCACAGAAATTAGTCACATCTGTGCATTGTCTTGACCAATTGTGATCAGAATTTCCCAGCACAGACACAAAAACACATTCCTAGCTGAACCAATCTGTATTGTGTGTGAATTTTTTTTTTTTTCGGGGATGACATAATTGGCTTTATTGTTATCATTGTTAGTCAGATGATAATGATTCAAACAAACTTTGACCTGTTGGTTTGTAGTTGCAAAATCACATTCCGACTCACACCACATTACACAGTATAAATTCAAAATCAGTTGAAGCAATGAAGTAAATCTCTTTACCAAACATATACAACCTGTCAAGAGACTCTTCTTGATTCTTTTGTTTGTTGTTTTTTCCAGGAGGACTTCCTGCCCCTGTACGACCTGCAGTATTCCTTCCTGTGGGTGACCTTCAGTGGTAAGACTGAGGATGAGCTATCAGGAAACCTAGAGAGCATCAGGGAGTGCGCTAAGAGGATGGGCATGCATTGGGCACATCGACGGGCTTGCTTCCTCCTGGGAAGACTCTGTGCCCGGAAGCTAAAGTTCTCCCAGGTTTGTACTCAATTTCTAGCATTCTACTGTGTGTTGTGTAGATGTTAATATCTTTTACTCCTCCAATAAGGCAAGTGAGTCCATAACAAGACCGTAACATGCAGAACATTAGCATTTCTGTTTTCTGAGGCCTTCCTAAATCTTTTTTTGTCATTACATCTGTTTGAAATCAGCTCCTACATACAGTGTGTTTCCTCTTCTCCTCAGGCCCGCGTGTACTATGAAGAGGCCCTCAGTGTTCGTGTGAACAGTTTCTCTGACACGCCGCTCCACGTCGCTCTCATCACAAATCTCACCGCTGTCTACCTGAAGCAGCGTATGACAGACAAACTGCCCCAGACTCTGGAGAAGGCCAGCGCCTTGCTCCTCTGTCTCCCCTGCCACAACTTCACCTCCAAAGAAGAGGTCGAGCTGCTGAAGCTGCTCCTGAGGCGATCAGTGGTGATGGGGGACAAACACCTGGAAGCTCGCGTCTGCTACCTCATCGCCAACCTCTTCCTGTGTCTCAGGAAGACCGATGATGCCCTTCCCTTTGTTGAGCGACTCCAGTTCCTCTCATTGAGTCTCTCTGCTGCAGAGGGGCGCCCCATAGTGCCTGTGGACCTCAATTGGCTCTTGAGCTGGCTCTATCATCGCAAATACATGCCTTACTTGGCACTGGCCTCTCTGAGCCTGGACTCAAGACAAGACCACTCCCTCCACGATGCTTTCCAAAGGATTGAGTTGTTTATCAGGAACTCTGTTCGCCTGAACCCGTGCTGGAAGGAAGGTACCTCCCTGCTCCCTGCCCAGATTGTGGTTTACCTTCAGCAGGCCCTGGCTATAGCTGAGCAAGGGGAGGACATGAAGACCCAGAGGGACCTGTGTCAGGGCTTGGCCTCAGTCTACCAGCAGTATGGTGCTTTAGATAAGGCATTGGACTGTGCCCAACAAGCTGTGGAGACAGGAGGCCACATAAATGAGGAGGAGGGCTTTGAGGCCTCTGTGCTGCTCGGGTGGCTGCTGGTGTTGACAGGCCAAGCTGAGAAAGCCCAGAGTGTCCTCCAGCCACTGCTCACATCACTCCAGGTACAACAAAGAATGCTATTCACTTGTAATGCACTTCCACTTGTATAGAAGTTATAGCTGTCCCTCTATATAAATATTATGTAATTCTGTAATCTGTGCCCCTGTCTGTACATCTGTCTCCAGGGCACAGACAGTCCCACGCAGCGAGGAGTGATCCACAATCTCTTGGCTTTGAGTCTGAGGCGTCAAGGACGCATCCCAGAGGCGGGCTGGCATCTTCACTCTGCTTTGGTTATCTCCAGGGAAAGTGGAAATCAGAGGAACCAGGCCCTGGCACTGGCCAACCTGGGCTGCCTGGCATTGGATGTGGGGGCATCTTGGGTAGCAGAACGCTTCCTTGTCAGGTCAGATATATGTCTTTTCGCCTCCAGGGAAGCTTTAATTCAACAAATGTAGAAAGACTTACTTACTTACTTATTGTGATTGTATTACCAGATCCTTGCGTCTTTTCCTGGAGCTCTGGGAGAGCCCCACAGATGAGGAGCATGTTCAGACCTACCTTTGGCTGGGGCGCAGCTACAAAGACAGGGGGAGGAGACACGACATCAGAGCGTGTTATGAAATGGGGCTACTAATTGCACTACATGCCAGAAACTTACACAGTAAGTACAAGTTAACACATTAAATTAATAGTTCGACACAGTGAGAAATACCCTGGCCAAATGTTAGATGAGAAGATCTCATGTCTACAAACAGAAGCCAGTTAACTTATCTTAGTTCAAAGGGACAGTGGAAAACAGCTTGCCTGACTCTGTCACATAGTAAAACATCTGCCTACCAGCACTTCTAAAGCTCACTAATTACGTTGTTGCATCTTGTTTATTTAATCACTACATAAACATAAGTATAAAAATCATAAATTTGTGATTTTGGACAGAGCCAGGGTAGATTTAATCTTGAATCTTTTTCTTTTAGATTTTAGATGTAAATAATTTGCCATCCTTTTGTGTAGCTAAGATGACTGACTGCTGGTGACATCAATCTTTTCATCTAACTCTTGGCCAGAAAGCAAATAATCTTTTAATCTGACTAAATAAGAATTTTACCAATAATGGATGATTAATCTGTATAATATTTGTGACTTAAAAATATCTGAGGAGAATATATCTGTTTATTTCTCAATTGCTTTAACAGTAGAGGATGATTTGTGCTAAGCAAGACATTTTACAGTTGAAAATTATCGGACAGATTATGTAATGGCAATACTGTCTCTAAACAATCTTAAATATATCATATTTGTACTGTAAAATTTTGCTTATATGTCGATTTCAATATGAACTGAAATTAGTAAATATAGGGTCAGCCATATCAGGTACTGTAAGTAAGACCAGGCTTTACTTAATATGATTCTTATTCAATATGATAAACACATCACAGTGTATTTAGTCTAAGGAGCCACAGATCACATATTTGCTGTATTTTCTTATAGGTCAGATGGTGGTGGCCAAGGTGCTGAGTCGACTGTATGCTGACATGCTGCTGTATGGTCAGAGTATCGTCTACAATGAGCACTGTGTGACGGTATCCAGAGAGCTGAAGGACAAGAGACTCGAGGGAGAGTATCTGGAAATCCTCGGCAACCTCTACCTCTCACTCAACACTGAAAGGTGAGTTTCCGGCTCTCCTTCCCGCTCACTCTTATTCTCTATCCACATCTTATCCATAATATCTTTGACTTTATAATATTTTTTCACTTTACATTTATTATATTAGATCATCTCGTAAATCTCTGGACTACACCAAGCAGAGCCTGAGGATTTCCATTGATTTGGGCAAAAGGGAGGAAGAGTCGGAGACCTGGCTACAGGTGGGACGCATCTATTACCTTATCCAGGAGGACGAGCTAGCTGACATGTACCTGCAGGTGAGGAAGAGGGAATATATGACAATGGTTACATAAGGGAGGTTGGACATTTTTTAGTCTCTCTTTATTATTTTATTCTCCTTCTTGTCCTGCCCTTTGCTCCTCCATGAAACTGGTACTCATTGAATGTTCCTCACCACGTCCTCACCAAGCTGCCATTGTTAAATTTTTTATCAACTGATTTATTTTTTCAAATTAAATGTAACCCAATTCGCAAAGTTTCACATTCTAATGTTAGATATGCAATCAATATTGATTGACAATACATTTTGATTGACAGGCAGCAGTGAAGACAGCCCTGAAGATGAATGATCCTCACTTTGCCATGAACATTTATGAGGAGGCAGGAGACGTCTACTTCAAAGGCCACAGGAACCAAACTGCTTCATTGCCTTTCTACAGGGTATGCAAAATAGAATACATTCCCTATATTTTGTCAAACTCAAAGCTAGAACGTCACAATGCAGTATTTTCTATGATACATTGTTGTAAGTTAAAAATTGTTTTTATTCTTGGCACCACTGATCTCATTCAATTACATTATTCATATTTGTTTTCAGGATGGGAGTCTGCCATTTGCACGGAGCATCAAGGACATCGATTCAGAGTTCCGTTTGTTGAGTAAACTGACAGAGCTGTTAATGAACCAGGGAGAGCAGGAGGAGGCTCTGCAGTATGCAACACTGGCTGTCGAGATTGCCGGAAAAACAGGTACAGAGTACAAGCATGTCCTATAGTAGAACCAGTGCCTTATTAACTTTTAATGATGATGTAGAGCTGGCTGCAATAACCGTAGTGTAGCTGGCTTACAACTACTTTGTCAGCAGAGATCATTGTTGTTTTTCCTCAGGTGTGCCTGTCAATGAAAGGACAGCCTACCATCGACTGGCTACAGTCTACTACAGCTTGCAGCAGTATGAGATGGCAGAAAACTACTACCTCAAGTCCCTCTCGCTCTGTCCGCCCGTCATGCAGCACCCTATGGAGGCTCGCTACTACACCAAGGTCTACTGCAGACTGGGCAATCTCACTCTACACAAACTGAAGGTAGACAAATGTATTTATGTGTGTGCAGAAACAGACTATAATCAAATAAAGATTCTGCTGAAATCTCTAGTGAAAATGTAAAAAAAAATGTTTTCCCTCATTCCCCCACATGAATTCAAAACACAAGATTTAAACTTGGAATCACTTACAAATGAATTGACAGGTGTTTAATACATAGGTTAACTTGAGAAATCGACTAAATTGTATTAATCTCAGGTATTAATGTTTTGTGACAAGGTTGCCTGGTTTTAAAAGTACAGACAATGAGCTACTACATACCTGGTTTCAGCCAAGCCGGGATCCTTGATTGCATATAATTCCTCGCTCTCCTCTCATTTCCTATGAACCCTTTAAATGACATGTCTGACACTGATTACGGTTTGTCATTTTTGCAAACACAGCAGTAAAACAGGCTTACATTTTCAATTATGATCAGATGTGAAACACAAAAACAATTTTTTTTCTCATGTCAAAGTTTTCAGTTACACCTAATGTGACCAGAAACCAAATCATATGATCAAGAAAATTTAAAGATTACACTTTCTTGAGTCTGCCTTTCTCATTGGAATTTTCTTGGCTGATTCGTCCTGGTTGAAATAGTTGGTCTTGATTACAGCACTGCTTAAAATAAGGCAATTATTGCGCCACAATACTGACAGTAACAAGGTCGTAACATTCCTCTGGCTGAAAATAAAAGTGCCTTTTACCTTTATCTGTTGACCAGAAACCTTCAAATGTGAAGATAATATGTTTGATTTAGATGGGACCTGTTGTGACCCATGCTCTGTTCACCCTCTCTAGGATGCTTTTGATGCAGTGGGCTACTTCCAGCTGGCTCTGGCAGCGGCCATGGAGGACCAAGCTAACCCCGAGGCTCTGTATGTGGTGTACATGAAGCTGGCTGAGATCCACGGCAACCACATGCCCGACACTAAGCTGTGCCAAGTTTACAGAGAGAGAGCCCAGAGTCTGAAGAGAGTTCTGGCTGGAGAGGAAGGAGTTGCTGTTGGAGAGGAAAACATGGACGATGCAGACAAAGAGCCTGGTCACAAGAAGGAAAAAGAGTCTGATGCTCACGTGGAACCTACAGAAAGTTTGATTAAGGGAAATGGCGTGTTCACTTCTATACCTAAAAATGAAAATTATGAAGACAACTCATTTCCAAGAACTTGTATAATGCATGGAGACACAAATGAAAGGTTTACAGACACTAATAGTGGAGATACTAATGGGAGAGAAGATCACAACATTAATCTTCCTGATACAGATGGCCCCTTTGTGGACGCCTCTGGGTCTGAGACAGAAACCATCGCCAGTCAGTCGTACAGTGACAGTATTTTTACTGAGTCCTTTGATACAGCGCAGGAGCAGATCTCAGACTCCAGCAGCTCCACTGACACTTTGCAAACTCACCACAATCAAACAGATGGGAAGGACTCAGACTTTGATACTGCCCACAGCATTCCCAGTCACATAGCTGTTAATCACACAAGTGACATCACAAGACACACAGACGGCCAAAACACAGACTCTGATATTCAGGATGAGCAAAACACCCTCACTAAAGAAACAGACGCCAAAGATCCCAATCAGGCTGATGCTGACCAAACAGAGACTGTAAATACAGATGAAGCTGTAAGCGACAACACAGAGAAAGATAAATCTGGTGAGACATACATGGATTTAGATGATGTCTACACATAGCCTCCCAGATTCACTGACATTTCCTTTGTCTGGTCACATGTTTCTTGACCAGCAAACTGACTCCAACGTTCCAGCCACATGGCACTTATTGTAGGATGAAATGTCAATACTGTTTCAGAGATGTAGTGACTTTAAAGCATGTGCCTTTTGTTTTGTAATATTCTATGGTTATTACAGTGCATTGTGCTTGTAAAATATGTTTTTTCTAAATGTATTTTTAGTATCTCTGGAAGATATGACTCAAACATAAAGGATGTTATTTTGTTTGCTGGGTGTTTATTTGTGCTTTTGTTAATTCACATATGGGAGAAATACATATGGTGGCCTTGAGGTGCAAAACACAACCGCAAATCTAATCAGAACGCACAGTGAATCAGAAAAAAACAACATGAGGAAACATGATTGCATTTTAGCAAAAATAAACCACTTCGTCTTTGTCAACCAGTATAATGAAAACACTAAAACCAACAATGTTTTGGTCCAACTCACAATGCTTTCTGAATTCCTCAGGCCATCTGTGACACTCAGCTTTTTAAATCTTTGAAAACTGGTCACTAATGCATTTTTTAGGGACTATATTCTCCTGCAGAAATAGACACAGCTGGTGAGCTAGTGAGTGTTTACAGCAACAAGGCAGTTATTCAATATAAAGAGTCCCAGTATTCAGAGTGATAAAGGAATGTTTCACTCAGTGCAACAATGTGGTTCATTGACGTGTTTGTAATTGTTTTTGGACAACAAAGGAAGACAACCCTACTTTTTTAAACACCAACTACAGCTGTGCCACAAGCGAGACAAGACAAAATGTGAACCGTTCATTTGTTTTGGACTATTTTCTGTTGCAGATTAATACACATTTGGTGTTTTTGTGAGTATTTATGGCACCAGGATGGTGTACATGACTCAAAATAAACTATGTTACCCATGTATTGAACAATATAGAATATTGCCAACCTCATCTGTGACAAAATAGAAAACATGCGGCAAACTAGGAGATAATTCGAGAAAGAAGGAAGCAGGCTGGCTTCTTGTAATTTTTTTAATCATGTTTGCTGCAAGAGACATGATTTCAAATAGGAATGAAAAGATATATCGTAAAACAGTTAAATTGCAATACAGATATGTGAAAATTGAAATCAGTGGGATGAAAGATTAATCTTGATATCAAGACTTCAGTTTCAGTTTTACAAAGAAAAGGAAATACACATTGTTTTGCACAGTTTTCCCTACCTCAGCAATAACAAAGGATTTTATAATTTGATAAAAGAAGTCTATGAGAAAAAATATATTTTGTAGATTTTTGTCTTAACAGTCATTTTATCTTAGAATTAACAGTCATATCATAATCTGAATGAGACTGAAGAGAAATTATGACTTAAAACAGCCACAAAAAAAAGCATCAAGGCAAGCATGGCTTCATTGAAAGCAAGCAGAAACACAGAAGGAGCAACAATCCACAAGGGGCTCACTTTGTTTCCCTGTTTTTCTTCAGCCACCTTCAAATTTGTTTGGCATAAAACACAAAATCTCACACAGCACACACTAAATATAACTACTCTTTTTCTGTTTGTACAGATTTGCCACCAGAGCCACAACACTGAGGAGGTGGTGATTTTTTTCCAATATTATGTGTATTTTTCTGTGTACTTTCTGATTTGTTCATATGTTTTGCCCACTGTTGTTACTGTGCTCTGCACCTCAGGGCCACCTGAAAAGAAGCAGCAAATTAATCAAAGCCATGTCATGAAAGGGCCACAAGAGAGCGCTATCATCCTGACTTTGTGCTTTGCAGTAAAAGCCATCATGGTGGTGTCCTTCCTCAGTTTGGCCACAGGTCGGCGGTAAAAGACAATTCCTATCTGCAGCCTGTGTTGCATCAGCTGCTGCAGCCACTTCCAGGAGGTGAGACAGTCAGGAGGAAAGAGAAAAAGATTTCCGTCATCTGCCTGGCAGTGGCAGCAATCCAAGCAGATCATAATGGAAAGTGTCCTCCTTACATTTTGGGCACAGGTTCACCTAAAGCCCAATAATGATGTCCATTTGTACAGGAAGGTCCTCGTGTGACACTGTGCGTAAGAAACAGGTGTGGATTTCATATTGAAATAAATATCCCGACAGGATGAGGATTCAATATGCAGGCTTTAATACGTACTGATTTGGTCATTATACATAGTGATGCTTGAATTTAGCCACACTCTTGGAGAGAAGAGCATGCCTAACAGCATTTCTTGAATTACAGTAATAAGATATTAACTAGTGTACTAGCACAATGGAAAATAGCAGGGAAAAGTTAGAGTGAGAGTTCAGGCAAGGCCAAACAAAGAGGAACTACTAAGAATTTGCTTGTTGTAAAGCGACAAGCCAAAGGAAGGAATGTTTGCATACATGGTCTGCATGCTGAATAATGTTGCAGGGCTTCTTCCTTCCCCCCACAGGCATGAGTTTAGCACAAGTTCAAAACACATCCAATTGTGCCAAAACAAGCACTGAATTGTTCTTCCTTTTTAAGTATTCCCAGGGTTTCTTTCAAATGATCTCTGGGGGCTTTTGCTTAAGTTTACGCCTTCCACTCCATTGAATACTTATGCTGAACTACAGAAGCTCATTAATATCATCAGCAGAAAAACACAAGGTTGAATAATCTCATGTGACCCAACAACCTTCCACCAAACAATATGTGAAACCCTGAGGATATAAAATGTAGAATTATCATTGTCTAATGTATTTGGCGTAGAAGAGAGTGAAGGTTAAAAAAACCCCAACAAAATGAATTAGTAATTGGTGTTTAACCGGTGCTCCAAGCATTAGACAAGGTAGTTTAAACGAGATTACAGCTCATACCAGCAACTTACTTGATGAATGGCCAATCAGATAGTTTGACTACCTTCTAAACAAGGGAATTGTCAATGATCCTTTGTCCTGTTGTCTCTCAATCTGACATTCTAAGATTGAGCGATAACAGCACCAAAAACGGCACCATTAGAAACCCATCTAATGTGGGCTATGACTAGTCTCAGGAACATTTACTGCAGGAATGTGTTATACTTCACATTCCTCAACAGCATGTGAATGCTTTAGATTGTAATTATGACAAACAACCATTATCTCGGCTGGCATTCAGTAAAAATTAGTCAACTGACAGCATGAAAGGCCATTTTTCTATTTGTATAAAATAATGAGAAACTTGCTGTCTTTTCATGCCCTTCTGTATAAATACTGTAGTGTGTCTGAAGCTCTTATGACAAAAAATAAAATCTACACATTTTGTTTGAAATACTCAAGTGCATTGAAAAGTAACTACTAAAGCGTAGAAACTATTTCAGTGTAGGCACGGTTTCTGTTCTGCATATTTAAACAACTGAGGACATAGGGATGGAAAACTTGTTTTGAGTTCAGATGAATTGACTTGAACTGATCAAACTGATTACTTTAGAAAATGCCACTGTAATATGTAAACTAACCACAAAGAAAGTGTGAATGCAGAGCTTTTTCCCCTTTGGTTACATTTATTCATGTCATTGCATTTGAATGTTTTACACAACAATAAAACAAAGTTACAGACCTATAAAACTTGGCCTAAGTGGGTAGTTAAGGCGAAGTGGGTGAGGAAGGAAAAAAACAATGTATAACAAAAAATGTCTTAACAAGAGAATAATCAATTGCACAGAAGAAACTGGCTAATTAGCTAGTTAGTTAAGTTAGTGGGAGGTACATGAAAACAGTGTAAATACATACATGTACCAAACATGCAAACATAAACATACATGTACTGTATAGTCATATAATATGCATTAAAAGAAAAATAAACGTGTTAAGAATTATTTTTTGTGGTTTCTTTTTGTGTTTGCATTATCCTTTTTTTAGCCTCTGTCAGAGTCATGGTCAAACTACTGCACACAGTCAAAACCTCAAAGATTTTTTTATTGGTAATACAAGCCAAGCAGAATTCAAAATCTGAAAAAAATAAAATAAAATGCAGCCATAAAATGCATTTTGATTGACTCACCTCGGATAAGTATTCATCTTGTTCACATAGTGTTAACAGCCTTATAAAAATGATTTGCCAATGCTTAATTTAATGTTAAGATACCTGTTTGTCACTGTCCAATTTCAGCTGCTTGATTTGAAGAACATGCATACTTCACTTTACACACACACACACACACACACACACACACACACACACACACACACACTGCCTCACTTTTTTATTCAACCCTGTCCCTGTGCCTTCTCCATCACAGGATAATAATTCTCTTCTCTGGCTACATTATCTTTCACTGTTGTAACAGGTGAATGAGTTTATCACATCCAGCACAAGCAACACACACACACACACACACACACACACACACACACACGCCTACACACACCCATTGCGTCATGAGCGTGTGCTCTCCATAATATTAAGGAAATGTTACTGTTTCAGGTTGACTGCCCCAGTTAGGATGATCTCACGGCAAAATGAATTGAAAAATGAAATATTATCCACGATGTCAGTGTCTTCTCGTAACGTCAGTAAGGTCAAAGTAAATTACTTTAGGAGCTCGTGATGAAAGTTTGGCCAGCAGGATTAACTCTGGTTTCACTCCGCCTGTACATATTTTCATTAGAGGAGGTTCATGTTGACGGGAACTGTCTCTTCTTACCTAAATACAAAGCTGTGAATATCTGGGAGGGTATTTTTTCTAAAAACAGGTCTCCCAAGTTCCTTGCATTTGAACCTGTTTGAACATGGTTGTGAAACGTGAAGTTTGTGAAACGTGAAGTTTGTCACCCTCAAGTTGTTTAAGGTTAATTAACTAACATGAATATTGTGGATATTATTCATGGTTGAGTGCGGAGTGAACTGACGAGTCTCACTTTCAGTCATTTTCCTTTTGTGTTTGGTCATGAATGCATTTTACATTTAATCCAATTTTCTTAGCTCACCACACTGAAAACCCCGTTCATGGGAACATGCAATGTTCATTCAGTTGGTCTGGCTTTTTATTAAAAAATAAATACATCATTAATTATTCATTTTATTTTTATATTGCGTTGATTTCTTTTGCCATGACATTAGGAAACAGTTGATGGCAAACAAAGTTCAGTATAACCTCATAAAGCAGCACCAAATGACATGGATCTAATGAAATTCAATACCTATGGTAAGTATTTTACTATTGGCCTGAGATGTGTTTTAAATACACTTCATAGCTTCCACTTCACATGCTGCACTCCTCTGTTGAGTCAGGGTTTACTCTTGGATATTTCTTTGCCACCAG